TTTCTTCCCAATAAATTTGCCCCCCCCTCCCCATGTTTTCTGTGTAAATTAAAACATTTTGATGCTACTGTGTGGCTTCATGGACTCAGAAAGAGAAGCGCGATGTTACTTCAGAAAGAACACCTAGTTCACACAGAGTGAAATAAGTTGCAAAGAATGAGAACCAGGTCATTGTTTATATGACAGAAATTTAAAATGGAAGTGAGGGCCTTGTCAAGTGAGATGTAGGAAAAGCAATCAATCACTTTAGAAGACACCCATACTAATTTCTAACTTTTGAGGTTGGCAGCAAAGTCAGATATGCTAGGAAAGGTTAAACAAAGTTGTTTTTCCTCTTATTCGTATGCAAGTTGAGATGAAGTCCTGAGGAATTTTTGGAATTTTTTGGCATAAAGAGCAGGAATGCCACTTAGATGTTGAAGCAAGCTATTAAAAACAGCTGAAAGCTATTAAGACCTATATATCAGGATTGCCAGTCATCCTTTTGCAGCTGCAACATAGTATCCTTCACCTCAAACAGAGAAGCTTCCACAGCACTGAGCATATGAAACAGTAATTCTTAAGCCACTCTTACAAAAAGACATGTCTGTAGAAGATATACAGCAATAGAACTCTGCTAGCTAAAACTGTGTTCATTAAACAGTTGCCAAGCAGTTCTTCCAAAACAATACTGAAGTTTTCAAACAACTGTTAACACAATTGTAATATTGCTTTCATGTCCCATATTAACATTTTTTAAAATTACACCTCTACCTCGATAAAACGCTGTCCTCGGGAGCCAAAAAAAAAAAAATCTCACCGCGTTATAGGTGAAACCGCGTTATATCGAACTTGCTTTGATCCACCGGATTGCGCAGCCCCTCCTCCCATTGTTTTACTGCATTATATCAGAATTCGTGTTATATCGGGTCACGTTAAATCGGGGTAGAGGTGTATTAGCAAAAATATTAGAGAAACCCCCCCTCAGGAACTCTATTGTACTCTGAGCATAGCTATAACGTTAATGTAAGGCCACAAGAGGGTTGTAACCTAATTTATAGTCACACCTGTCTGTTTGTAGCCATGTTTGAAAACTATCATAAAAGGCTACTATCAACAGTGCTGCAGAGATCGTGTTAAGAGCATCTGTCACTAATGGTGAATGGAAAAGCCAAAATTGTTCTGCTACTGTTCTTTTATGTACAAATAGGAACTTGGTACTACTTTTAAAAGTGTGTACAGTACATCTTTAAAGTGTTTAATCACTTTATTTTACAGAAAGTGCTTAGGGGGTTCAACCACTAAGCACAGCTTGATTACTGGGAGTACACGGTTGGAGTCAAGTTCATAAATGATGCTCCTGAACTGTTGGCAGGATTCGTAAGTACTGCCATGATTACTTGTGGGGGGAGGGAGGGGGAGGAGAGCCTGAAAAATTCTATTCACTAGTAAAATAAAGAACTCATCCTCATTTTCTTCTGGTCTTCAAGAATAGCTAACATTGTACCTCTAAACCTTTAAGGGTATTAGACTCTTAGTAATTATTTCTCGGATATCTGAAAAATTCGAACTTTTACTAAGGGGAGGGAAAAGAGTAGTCTCTGTAAGAGGGCATAGAAAATATTTTTACTACAGAATAATTTTCGATCTACCATTTTCTTTGAAACACAAAAGCCTCTCCAAAAATTGAGTAAATTGAGGATGACCTTCAAATAAGTGAAAAATTGGGCTAGCACCCTTTTGTTTGCTTACTTCTTTGGCATGCTTAAGGCAGCCTAAAAAGAAGAAAAGAAAACATTAGCAACTGAAGTCTCTCTCGCTTTCTTTATTTAAATAAGATACAAGACTCAAAGCTAGAGAATTATTGAAATGACAACTTCACAAGTATCAAGACAGTGAAAGCTAAGCTACAGGTGAGGAAGGTTTCTTTTTTAGTTTAAGTGTTAAAAAAAACAAAAACAAAAAAACCCTTTTTGTTAACACTGCCAACGACTGCATATGGTCAAGAAATTCTGCAGAAAGTTTTAACCACTCCCCTTCAGTTAAAAAGATGAGGGACAAGGCACCACAATACACATGCTTCAAGACATACCAGAAAACCAAGCAAGACTAGTCCTGGCATTCCTGATGTTAAGGTATAAACTCTAGCAAAAAGGAGGGGCAGGAGGAAGCATACTTCCCTCTTTTCTGAAGAAATTTTAAATCACCTCCAAGTTAACAATGAGAAGTTTGTTCCCAGAGTACAGCTTTTTATTTCTTGTACCATTAATACTGAGATGCATAGCAAGTGTATCCAAGAGCCATAGGGCCCTGTTTTTCTTTGTTTTCCTTAAAAAAAAAAAATACACTTGCTGAATTTAAGTATACATATATTTATATGTATAGCATGTTAAAGGACCACTGGCAGCTTTGATGAGGTATCTATTTAGTTTCCATCTTACTCTCTGTGGTTTGTATTGATGCATACATTTCCACATGTGATTGTCTCTTGGGGTAGTCACTGTGATTTAGTAATGAGTATTAAAGGGGAAGGTGGCATGAGGAAAAGGCATTAATCCTTTTCCATACTCATGTTAGAGTGAAAGATATTTCTGTTTCTTCCGTTAAAAGGGCTGGATTTTGATTGATTTAGAATAGGTGAGGAAACCCAAATTAATCTGAAAACAGTATTTAGTAAGGCAAAATGCCCCAAAATTACAGCCCCCAGCCCCAGCTCTTGCAAGAAGAAATGTGACCTTTTCATTTGAAAAAGGACAGATGATTATGATGAATTGGTGTGCACATAACTTTAGCAATTGCTTGTAGACCAAGACGTTGACTGAACACACAAGAAGAGCTGGAGACTTGCAACCACAATGAAGAAATATCAAATAGCAACCTTAGAATTAAGTTGTAAACGTCTCTTCACACTGGCCAACATACTTAATAAAGGCTCAGGCAGAAATCCAGATTAGTGGGGAAAATAATTTTATTCTAACTTCAGAATTAAAAAAATATATATTTATAATTTTGCCATTCTAGATTTCATGCTACATAAAATCAACATGATCAGAAGAAACACTGCATCTGCCTCTGTGTTCATGTTATTTCACATTAAGAAGCCTAAGTAATCTTAGAAACTCTGAACTGTAAAAAGAGTTACAATACGACTGGATGTATTATTAACCATTTATACAGCTAGATCAGGAATACTTTATGAACTCTGAAGTACTCAACAGAAATATTTGCTATGACACTTCAGAATAACTAAAGACATTAATATTTTACAATGGCTATGAAATGCATTCCATAATATTTTAACCAGCTTCCTGCTGGCCTAGTACAAGTTACTTGCATTGTCATGGACAAAATTAACATTCAGTTTCAGGTCTACTGTTACCAAGACCAATAGAGGCTAGAAGTACTCTAGGGAGGTTTGCCCTGTGTGGGTCAAGAATGCTTCTGATTGAGTAGCAAGTAGGATAGGCAGGTTCCTAGGAAAGGACTGCACTGTGCTGTACTATCCTGTCCTCTAATCAGGCAGGGTGAAGAGAAGAAGCAGAGGCCTAATGAAAATAAAAGGTGCTTTAAAATGCAACAAGACTAAAGAGTCCCCTGTAGAAAGTGTTCCTGAACTCAAGAGAAATTCACTTAAATATATATATATATACACACACACATAGCCTTATTAAAATTGAAGGTCATACTTTCATAGAGAGGCTCTCAAGAAGGGCTTTACCTACTTCAACGCAAGCCATCATGATTTTGTTAAAAATCTGGCATCATTTTTCTTATATTAAAAAGTGTCATGCTGTCTTTAACATGTTCTGCTGTTTAAACAGATGCAACTCTTTTGGTTAATCTCTGGCAGTGATCGCCATTTCACAGCAAATTCAGCCCACACAGAACTGATCAATAACACTACAGACACAAGACTAGACTGCATCCATTTAATAACCACAAGGAAATATATCATTCAGCAAAATTCTATATATTACAGGGGGTCTAGTTTTTTTAAAAAGCTTTGTTGTTACAGAAAACTAGCCACGCAGCTATGGGGGGAAAAATGAAAATGATCAGATAAAACCAGTTGTCAAATCAAAATTATAAGAATACTAAGTAATTTTACTTTTTCACACAACACTACATAAGTAAAGAGGAATAAGAAAAAAAAAGCAATAGAACAAGCTGTAAAACTAAAAACAATGAAAATCAGTTTCAAGACCCAGGATCAGTGGATCACAGTAGCTCTGAGAAAAGGATAGTTTCAAATAAATACAATTGTATTAACAATTTCCAAACACTGGTTGCTACCATGAAAAATGCTTCTACAAGCCTAAACAATTCTTGGACCACTTTATTTCCTGTAACTAAAAATAGTAAATTTAAAACTGGACTTTTGTATCTAAAAGTTATAAAACAGAACCATGTATTAGATAGCTAAGAAAAAGTTAGGTTTTGCAAAATATCTAGATAGTGATTTGAAGCTTACCTCATTCTCTTGGTACTGTGCATATACACAAATGCACAGCTCCCTCTCCATATAGCATGTTAGTGCTTTCAGTATAGTAACTATTTTTAAACACACTAATGGAGGCGGAAGCTCACCACTGAGTACCCCAAAATAAGATCTGATCTAAATGAAGTTAGAGATGTGACTTGGTTATATTTTCCTGACCATTTTAAACATGAGACCACTCAATTAAATTACAGTATTAGTCTAAATGATTAGCTTTAAATTTACTCCATCAATCGACTCTGCAGTGGACTAATTTAAAACTAATGTTAAGTTTACAGACGGCATACATTAGAAGTGCTGAACTGTGGTATTTTAAGATGAACACAATAGCTGCTATCACCACAGTTGTCATCTTCAACCACCTTATCACTTCAAACAATTAATCACGGTCAACGAGAAACTATATTCCAAGTCAAATATCCTCAAAAAGGGAAAGCTAATCGAAGTTTGTAAATCTTAGCTAACCCCACAAGTTTTGGCCCCACAACGATACCTTTAAACTGACCAAATTAAGTTTACTTACCCGACGAACAAGAGATCAGAAACACAGCGAACGCCAGCTTGGTAGCAGCTCCCATTTTCGAAATACAGTTAGAACATATAGGTGGTGTTTCTACTGTCTTGTTTCCTGGTTCTTCCAAATAGAAAAATCCCACCTTTAAATTTAACCGTTATAAAGCAATCTAAGTCAACATATTTGGAGTTTAGAGTGTTCACAAAACAAAATCAGACTTATTTAGATACTGACGACCCCTCCAGCTCCTTCTAGTGAGATCCCCGATACAGGGGTGTATATGTTTGGAGACGCATTTCAAAATACACGTGTCATTTGGCTTCTGTACAAATGGTGGAAAAATGCAATTCAGGAGGGAAAAAAAAAGGTTAAAAATCCATAAAAAGTCAACAGCGGAAACCGTCTTTTAGGAAAAGAACCGAGTCTCAGAGCACAGTTCAGCTTTTTTCCCACGTCAAGCTCTGTAAAGTATCCCTCGTCGTGTTGGACCGGGCAAGTTGTACTGAAATTAGTAAACAATATATTTTCGGCCTCACTCCCGTTATACATGTAGTGTTTGAGCAAGTAGTTCCATCTCCGTTTCAAAACTCAAAAACAAGTAAGCCACTGATAGAGAGAATAGTAAACTTGTCAGTTTCTTTATAAAATTGTCTAAAATAAGTTACCTGCCACACGTGGTCAGCATTAACGTTTACTTTAATAATGCTGGGAGATGTAGTGACCAGAAGGACGGGGAGAGAAACAACAGCTTTATAACAAACAAGCCTTTACAGTTCCACAAAGGTAAATCTCTGGGCTTCCCTGCAGTCAAAGAAAGCCGCACGTTTCCCCTTCTCTCCCCCCACCTCCCTCCCACTTCCACGATCCTCTCCTTGTCCGTTCAACACAGGCTGTACATTTCAGACATTCTTGCCTCTACACAGAATTTCAAACTCCTTTAAGAATTCCCTCCAAGAGACTATATTTGGTGTTTAAACAGTGAAGAATGACTGAAAAAAATGCAGTCTCCAGCCGCTGGGGAGGAGGGTGATGTATGGGCTCGTGGCAAGTCTCTTCTTCCTTGATTGCTGTGTTTCTAGGAGAATTCCGCTTCTATGGAGGTGGAGAGGGTATCAATATTATATACACATGATTGGATGTGGCCAGTAGCTCCGTGTTTACCGGGCTGGTGACAGCTTTCTTTCTCCTGTGAGCAGGACTTGTGGCTCTTCTCTTTGATGCACACCCCTCTCCCAACTCCTCACGGATACATTTTTCTCCCTGCCCCCAACGTGGTTAGAAGAGAGAAACCTGGACAATCTTCCACTCAGTCCAACTTTTGCTGTCTTAGGAAGAAAAAACCCCCAATGGGTAGGGGTTGAAAGCCTGGTGAACTCTTACTGCATTCTCCTTGTGCCTCCCACACCACGTACCAGGCAAGCCCTGGGCAGAGGGTTGGAAAGAGGGGAGGGGAATCCCCTCTTCTCCCCCTCCCCTAGCTCTGTCCCCAGCTCACTCCTTGCTCTGAGGAAACTGCTGCAGGCTCTGACCCTCTCGTCTCCCGGGCGGCGCGACGCACACCAACTTTGGCCCCCCCAGGAGCGGAGTTTAGGGGTCGGCGATAGTGAAAGGCCAAGCCCGTAGCTTTTCTCTAGGCGACGACGGACGGAGGAGCCGGCTTTATCGTCCCCAGCGTCCGGCTGGCAGCCCCGAACGGTCCTTCGTACCGTACTGCTGTTGCTGCTCGCCTGTGGTAATTTCATATCTACCCATTCACTGTGTGGTGTGCAGAACGAACCCAAGATGGCGGCGCCCGGGCGATTGTTTTTGTTTCCTCTCCTGGCTCCCCTCCCCCGCTTCTCCCAATCACGGCGGCCTGTCGCGCGACTTGGTGCGTGCGCGAGTCGTCCCCAATTGACAGCCCTCGGAACCACTCTGGGCGGAGCACAAGACCTCGCCTTGCCAGCTGGGGCGGGGCGCTGGCGCCCCTATGCGCGAGGAGAAACGCTCCCGCGCCTCGTACCTGCGCGCGCCCCCTTCCTTGGTGAGTGAGTCCGCGCCTGTTTCTAACCGCCTCCCCTCGCTCCTTCATGCCCCTGGACTGCACGGGATGTTCTATTGGGTGCTGCACCCGTCACCCCGCCCCGACTTTACTTGTTCCCCACCCCCGCTTAGATTATCTCCCGTTTGCCGTTTCAAGTGCAGTCAGAGGAAAGAATCAGAAGATTCGGGTTGGAAGGGACCTCAGGAGGTCATCTAGTCCAACCCCCTGCTCAAAGCAGGACCAGCCCAACTAAATTATTACTTCCCTCCTCCCCCTTATCTCGGGTGTCAACTTGTCTGGTGTCAGATCTCTGCCCAGACTCTTCAGCCTTGGTGTGCTGTCCCAGGGATCCTTTGAATTTTTATTTTAATAGTTTGGGCAGATAATAATGCTTATTTTTAAGCTTTTTAAAATCCATTTAAATGTTTGCAGTTGCTGATTATGGGGTGGGGGGGTCAGACAATAGGTTTTTAATTACCGTAGATGTTGAGATACAAAAAGTTAACATTTGTAGCAGTTAAAACACAAGTTGTCAATGTCCCGTCAAAATATATCAAGTAAATAGCCTTAAAATCAAACTCTAATAAATTCTCAAGCAGCATTCTTCTTACTTTGACGTTTGACCCTCTGTAAATTTCTATTATTATTCATGGATATATTTTCTTTTGGGGGGGTTGCATGTGTATGGTGAAATTGATGTTTACTGACATTTACCAGTAAAAATCTAATCCTAAACCTGTCTATCTGGGTTTTACCAGTGCCATTTTGGTTTGAGAGTGGTGAGGGAAGGAGCAGCAGAAAGGGGGAGGAGGGTAGCTTGGTTTTCTCTTTTCTTCCCCCCCCTCCCCCCCCGTTATTTTTGTTTTGCTTTATTCTTTTTAATTCATTTCAGTTTTTCCTCTCATCAAAAAAGGCCATAGCAGTCCTCAACCCTTTTCCTCTGAGGCCTTACTCCTGGTCAGTTGTAAGGAACAATAATCTGTCCCCAGTCACCCACCTACTGTCCCCACCATGCCTTACCTTGCCAAGATCCCTAGAAAGCTGCTAGAGCCACAGAATCAAAATCCTGATATTGACTTAAAAATCATGGATTTTTAGAAAATAATAAATGTTATTTTTATTCTTCTTGAGCCTTTTAGGGTTCATGATTTCAAGCTTTCTCTGCAGTCACAGAGCTAGAAACTTTCTATTTTTAAAATAAATGCTCACGTCACATTCCAATAATTACATGACTCCAAGAACTGAGGGTTCAAGGAAAACAGAAAATATATCAAAACTTGGAATAAAATCGTGAGAGTTAGTAACACTAAATTATCTACAGTGGTTGCCACCAAATCCTTCACCAGCATGAAGGATCCTGCTTCTCAGAGTAGGGCATATGCCCAAGTGGCTGCAGAATCTTCAGCAGTCACTGTCTCCCATTCCACTAGCAGGGCCTGAACTTTACTGGGGGTATGTCTTAACTGAAGAAAAAAAGTGGTGTGTTCTTAACTTGGGTTATCTAACTTTGTTTAAGTACCAATCAAGACACAGCAACTTGACTTTTAACTCAGGTTAGCAGCATCAGTTAAATTCTGTAAGGGAACTTGCGTCAAACTCAAGCTGCTGACCCAAGTTAAAAAATCAAGTTGCTTTCTTTTCACTGCTGTTTTAACCCAAGATAGCTAACTTGAGTTAGCTAATCCAAATTAAGAACACACCTTTTTTACAATGAAGATATACTCTGTGAAGCCTGGCTGCCTTGCCCCTTGTGGATGTGTGCAGGTGGCTATTGTCACAGCGGCCTCCAACATGTGTGGTACTGGCAAGTCTCTGTAATTCCTACTATCAAGTGATGCAACCCAAGAGGTGGCAGCAATGGGGATCCCAGTGGATAGTATCTATGTCTCCACTGATGCCAAGCTGGTCCTCACAACTTGTCTATGCTGCTTCTCCAGTTCAGCCTTCCTGATCCTCCTCTGTACCCTCGGGAAACTGTTGACTCTAACCACTCGTCTTCCTTTTTGCTTGAAGGACCCAGGCCTTCACCAGTTGTTATTATTATTTGTATTGTGATGGGGCCTAGATGCCCCAGTCACAGACCAGGACCCCATTGTGCTAGGCACAAACACAGAACAAAAAGACAGCTCTTGCCCCTAAGAGCTTGCAATCTAAGGGCTTGTCTTCACTACGGGGATAAGTCAACCTACGTTATGCTACTCCAGCTACATGAATAATGTAGCTGGAGTCGACGTAGCTTAGGTCAACTTACCCCAGTGTCTTTATTGCGCTGCATTGATAGGAGACACTCTCCAGTCAACTTCCCTTACTCTTCTAGGAGAGCTGGAGAGCGCTCTGTCATCAATTTAGCGGATCTTCACTAGACCCACTAAATCGATCCCTGCTGTATCAATTGCAGCAGCATCAATTTCCCCGTAGTGAAGACCAGCCCACAGTATAAGATAAGAGGCAACAGGTGGATACAGGCAGGCAGACAGATAGGGAGAACAAAGAGATTATCACCAGTATTCTCCTCCTAATGCTAGGTATCCATCTGGCTGATGACAACTGTGAAATAGTTCTCTGAGATGCCCTTCCAGAGGACCCTGTACAGAGTCCACTACTCCAGAGACCAACGTGTACATAAGCAACAAGGACTAGCTGGAGATCCTTTTTACTCTGGCCAAACTCTGAGAAAACACACATCTAATGCCTTGTAATGAGTCCCTAAGTATCCACAGGCTGACTGTGGAGTTGTGCCATGTGTTCTGGGATGTCTTCAGTCCAGCTCTCCTGATAATGTAGAACAGGAGTAGGCAACCTGCAGCATGCAAGCTGATTTTCAGTGGCACTCACACTGCCCGGGTCCTGGCCACCGGTCCGGGGGGCTCTGCATTTTAATTTAATTTTAAATGAAGCTTCTTAAACATTTTAAAAACCTTATTTACTTTATATACAACAATAGTTTAGTTATATGTTACAGACTTAGAGAAAGACACCTTCTAAAAACGTTAAAATGTATTACTGGCACGCAAAACCTTAAATTAGAGTGAATAAATGAAGACTCGGCACACCACTTCTGAAAGGTTGCCGACCCCTGGTGTAGAACCAGGCTCTGGGCCACTTGAGCAGCAAGGTTTGAAAGAACATGATGATTAAGGGTTACCCCTTCGCTTACAGAAGTGGTATCTCCAGGTCAGAATTGAGAAACAGTGTCCATCAATCTGCAGGAAAAGTTAACTAACACTGCCTGAGTTGTATCCATTTTGTCGATAAAAAGGATTTAAATGGACAGAGCTGGCAAACCATCACCATTACTTAAATTAACAAGGGCACAAGCACACAAATTTAAAAAAAAATTATTCATTTGTACTGTGGTATCTCCTAGGGACCCCAAATAAGGACTGGTGTATCCCATTGTGCTCAACACTGTATAAACACTTATTAAAGAGACATTCCCTGCCCCAAAGAGCTCACATGATGACATTTTGTTTGGAGGCCCTCAGAAGTAAAACTGAATATGAGATCGTGCAACTCGGGAAATATCAGGACATGTGGCAACACCTTGTATGTTGCTTTTTATTCAAGGACTTCAGAATGATTTGCAAACATTAATTAATTAAGTTTTGCAACACCCCTATTTAATCTGTAGTTTTTATAGTCTCCTAGAACACAATATTCAAAAGCAACTTGTTCTGCAGGTTGTATTTTCACCTGGCTCAGCTTCTTCAAAATATTAATCACATTGCCACATGAGCTGAAAATTATAGTAAAGAGAGATCGATATCACCTTATTTTAAAGATTGTTTTTGTTTATTTTTAGGCAAGTTATAGCCCATTTTTAGGAATAAATAAAGGCTTTTTACTAATGTTTTTAAATTGTTTTTCTTGAATTATATGGAAACATGGCCTCTTCTAAGGATATGTTCACAATAAGTGTGGGAGATTATTTGGGATCCTCAAACAGACGTCAGCACTGCAGAAATAATAATTAGGTATTTTCTATATACTATAAAAATGTATTTCAAATGTTTGCTTCAGTGCGGTTATTTTATTACCCTAAAACCAGAAGACTTCAGATTTTAGAAAGCTGCAAATAGGTTGTTAATATCTTCAACAATTTTTTATTGACAGTATTCAGTAGATTTTTGTTTAGACCAACATTTTTGCCAACAATTTCAAATATAAAAAAGATCAATATATCCTGATTAAACATTATTGTACTTATAATTTATACAATGCCATTTCTGTGCATGTCGTATTACAAACTTAAAAGAAGATTGTGTTCCTGCTTTATGGGGTTTACAATCCTAAAGTCTGATTCATCATTGGTCTAAGGCTTATTTGCACAGTCATAAGGCCCCACCTAGTGAATATTACTAACTCATGAGCTGCTCAATCAGGGCAATCTTGGGCAGTCATGGGGCTTATCAAGGCAGAATCAAGCATAGTTGGAGCCTCCCTATGCCCTTTTTATTCCCCAGCTGTGCAAGAGACATAGGGCCCATGGTGACTGGTACAGATTAGAATGGCTATCGTTGCCTGGGGTTAATTTAGCCCCTTAACACAACCATAATCAAGTGAACGCAAACTGCCTCCCCTCTGATAGTGTGTCAGCATGGGAACCCCAGGGATTAATTTGATCCTAGGTCCCAGTCCTGCAAAGGACTCGTGCATCCCTTTGTGGAATCCCGGAAGGGGGGAAAGTGGATGGTGATATGGCTGGAGGGCTGTGCCACAAAGATACCGAGAGGAAGGAGCCGTAACGGATCTGCAGGTGGAGAGCCACCACTA